CTTATTACAAATTCAGAAGCGGGATTCGTTAGAGAACGTGCCGAACTTTAATAAAAACGTATTATTTTTATTCGATTAATTACGGAAATTGAATATTTTTTGGATTTTGTTACGATGGCAAATTCATTACGACGTGCAGATATGGTGCGTGCATTAACAGAGGCCGGCATTGTGTTTGATCCAGAAGCAACAATGGTGCAATTACGACCATTGTATGACGATTTAATTGCGGAAATTGGGCAAAATCGTGGAAATAACGTGCAGCAACGTGTTCAGTTGAATGAATTGGGACCGGATGGTGTACAACAGATGCAAAATAACCCAGACGAAACAGATGAACAGCGACAACAACGTGAAGCTTTACAACAACAACAACAGATGCAACAGACGCAACCAGATGCAAATGTAAGTGTTCATAATCGGTTGAATTTAGATTGGAACGCAGAAGAAGCCGAAATCGATCGACAATTGGTAATTGCTCGTAAAAAACGTGAATTGATGGAATTACAACGTGAATTGGTGCAAATGGAAACACGGAAAATCGATTTACATGTGCTTGACGCAATGGTGACAAAATTTGATGGTTCTGAATTGCATGACATTGCGAAATGGATTGAAAATTTGGAAAACGTGTTCGTCATGTTCCATTATAGTGACCGTGATAAATTGGTTGCTACCCGACATTTGATGACTGGCCGTGCAAAACGTTTTGCGGAAATAACAACGACATTTTCGTACGATCAATTCAAAAAGGCATTGTTGGATGAATACAAACGTGCATACACCGTGCAAGATGTTTTTCGCCAATTGAAAGCACGCACATTGAAACCAGATGAAACACCACGCGAATACATCGTCGAAATGCAATACATTGCGAGCCGATCGAACATTCCAGAAACCGATTTAATTGATTTGATCATCAGCGGCCTGAATGATAAAAGTGTTCACGCATCAATTTTGTACAGTGCTCGTACATTGGCCGAACTGAAAATGTTGATGGAACGTTATGAAAAATTACGTCGTGCCTCAGTGCAACCAAGATCAAGTGCCATGCCAGCTGCAACAATGAAACAGAAGCCATACGTGCCAGATGCCAGTGCAAATACACGTGCCATTGCAAGTGCCAGCGGTAGTACAACGAAAAGTGTTGGTGAAATTGATTTGTCGGGAATTCGTTGCTACAATTGTTTCAATTATGGGCATTACCAGAGCAAGTGCACGGCTCCAAAGCGGCCACCAAATTCGTGTTTCATATGCCATGAGGTCGGTCATACACGTCATGAATGCCCGAAAAAGAAGAAGCCAGAAGCCAGTGAACCAAATGCGGTCGCAACGGTTGGAAATCCGCCACCAGAAACAAATTACCAAGACAATTGGGACATCGCAGAGGATGAGAACGAAGTACGCCGTTTAGCAACGCAGTTGTCATCGATGCAAATGGTAAGTGTTGCCTTTATGAATAAACAAAATAAGTGCACTGAGTTAATTTCGAAAAATGCTTTATTTGATTCGGGTAGCCCCGTTAGTTTCGTGAGACGTTCGATGGTACCATTTGCGATGAATAAATTAAAATGTACACCGTATCGTGGGATGGGCAATAAAAAACTAAGTATGTATGGGAAAATTGCGTGTAAATTTGTGTTCAGAGGCAAGGAGTTAATACATAATTTTTTCGTTCTACCAGATAATGAAGCCGTGGTACCTTTACTTGTGGGCCGTGATTTATTAACAAAATTAGAAGTCTATTTGTGCCAAATGAAATCATACAAATATACAGCCTGCGAGCTAATTAAAATTAGAAATAATATGAAGAATAAAATGCCCAAAAGTACCAGTGCACTTAAGTTGTTTAATTTGTTTAAGAGTCCGAATAGTAGCATTACAGAGGTACCAACCACAGATAGTTTTAAGAATACAGAGGCAGTTGTTAAGCAAATTGGAAAGAGATCTAGTGTAAGTAAACGGATTGAACCAGAGGTAAACATTGTTGATGACTTGAACAGTTGTGAAACTCGATTTGATAAATGTATCGGTGTAATTAATTTAAATGAAACAGAAGAATTGGTTGATTATGATGAAGTAATTTTGTTGGTAAGTGCGACTGAGACAGATGAGTTTGATAAATTAATTGATATTAACAAGAAATTGGATAAGAAACATGCAGATGCTCTGAAATCAACCATTTATCGAAACCACGTGAAAACAAAAGAGGTAAACCATAAGTTCAGTAGTTATTCTATGCAAATTAAACTGAAGAATGATGAACCAGTATACAGTAACCCGCGTCGATTGTCATACAAAGAAAAGATTGAAGTACAGAAGGCAATTGATGATCTATTGGAACAGGGTATTATTAGACCAAGTAGCTCGCCTTATGCATCGCCAATTGTGTTGGTCAGAAAGAAGAATGGTGAATTGAGAATGTGTGTTGATTACCGTGCATTGAATAAGCTTACAGTAAGAGATCATTTTCCGTTGCCGTTGATTGAAGATTGTTTGGAATATTTGGGCGGTGGTAAGAAGTATTTTAGCGCTTTGGATTTGAAGAATGGCTTCCATCAGGTGCCGATGCATCCAGATTCTATTGAATTAACAGCATTTGTGACTCCGATGGGTCAGTACGAATATGTTTACATGCCGTTTGGTTTGACGAATGCACCACCAGTATTTCAGAGATTTATTAGTCTGGTTTTGAGAGAGTTGATTGATGCAGGAAAAATTGTCGTGTATTTGGATGATATAAATATAGCTACGAAAACGATTGAGGAGCACATGGAGATATTGACAAGTGTGTTGACATTGTTAGCAGAGGCTGGATTAAAGTTGAATCTAAAAAAGTGCAAGTTTGCCTACGACGAGATAGAGTATTTGGGTTATGTTGTAAATGAGCATGGTATTCGCCCTAATGAAGCACATTTAAACGCGATCAGAAATTATAAAGTGCCTACAGATGCAAAAGAAACACAGCGATGCGTTGGATTGTTTTCATATTTTAGACGATTTGTTTTTGATTTTTCACGGATTGCGCGACCATTGAATCAGTTAATTAAGAAAGATGCGAAATTTGAGTGGACAGATGAATGTATGGAAGCATTTACGATATTGAAAAAGAAGTTAACAGAGGCACCAGTATTGGCTATATTTGATCCGAAACGAGAAACAGAGTTGCATACAGATGCCAGTTCACGTGGATATGGTGGAGCATTGTTACAGAGGCAAGACGATAAACAGTTTCACCCAGTTGCATATTTTTCGAAAACTACAACAGAAGCGGAATCACGTTACCACAGTTTTGAATTGGAAACGTTGGCCATTGTAAATGCATTGGAAAGATTTAGAACATTTTTGGACGGCATGCAATTTGTTATTGTGACAGACTGTAATTCATTGGTTATGGCATTGGAAAAGAAACTAATTAACCCTCGCATTGCACGTTGGACATTGGGACTGGCAAATTATAACTTTACAGTGCGTCATCGGCCGGGCCACCAGATGACACATGTTGATGCGTTAAGTCGTGTGGGTCTGAATGTATGCAGCATCGTGGAGGGTGAAGTTGATTTGAATATACAGATAGCACAGACGCGCGATGAAAAAATCCAGCAGCTAAGACAGAAGTTAGAAACAGAAGAAGTAACGGGATATGAACTTGAAAACGGATTGGTCTTTCGTGTCAGTGGTGAAAATCAACAGTTGTACGTGCCACATGAAATGGAAACGAGCATAATTAGATCGATACATGAGAATTATGGTCATTTGGGTATTGACAAGTGCACGAACCAAATACAGAAACACTATTGGTTCCCACACATGCGCGAAAAGGTGAACAAATTTATCAGAAACTGTTTGAAGTGTATCTACTATTCAACTCCTGCGCGGAAAAATGAACGTAATATGTACAGTATACCAAAGAAGCCGGAGCCATTCGATACATTACATATTGATCATTTTGGTCCATTGGAAACGGTAAATTCGAAGCATAAGCATGTGTTGGTGGTGATCGACGCTTTCACTAAGTTTACCAAACTATATGCTGTCAACACTGGTACAAAAGAAACAATTTGTGCATTACGTAAATATTTTGCGGAATACAGTCGTCCAAAGAGAATTATTAATGATCGTGGAACGGGTCTTAAGTCAAAAGAGTTTGAGGAGTTTTTGCAAGAGAGAAACATAATACATATCAAGAATGCAGTTGCTTCACCGCAGTCCAATGGTCAGGTGGAAAGAGTTAACCGTGTTATGAAAGCAGTGTTGGCTAAAATAACCGACCCCATAAGTCATACTGATTGGAAAAAGAAATTGTCAGATGTTGAGTTTGCTGTGAATAAAACTGTGCATTGTTCTACAAAACAGACGCCAAGTCGAATGTTGTTCGGTATTGAACAGCGTGGTGAAGTGGTTGATGAACTAACAGAGTATTTGCATGAAGTTTATGCCAAAGAGCAAAAGAGTTTAGATGATATAAGAGCAAAAGCAGAGGTCGCAATTCAGAAGTCTCAGTCGTATAACCAAAAGTATTTTGAAAAGCACCATAAACCAGCGAAAGAGTTTAATCCGGGAGATTTAGTTGTAATTAAGAATGTGGATACCACTGTTGGCAAGAATAAAAAATTAATTAAGAAATTTAGGGGCCCATACGTAATCCGAAAGCGTTTAGATAATGATAGATATGTTGTAACAGATGTTGAGAATTGTCAAGTAACGCAGATGCCATACAACAGTGTAATAGATTCAAGTAGAATTAAGATGTGGTTGGAACCAGAGTCAGAGTTTAATGAAACGGACACAGAAGGCAACACTTTAGAATTAGAAATAGAACCGTTAAGTAATGAATATGTAGATTATGAGTTTTTGGACACATAGAATTAACAATTTATTGTACAACAATCGTGGTCGATTGTTTTGTCAGAACGGCCGAGTTGTAATGTTATTGAAGTATGCGTGAGTATGTATGAGTGTGAGCATGA